CGGGAAAAAAAGTCACGATTCATTACCTGATAAGGTATGTCCTACTTGAACAAGTTCCACCGGGGTTGCGTTCGACTTTGAAAACACATAGATCATCGACTATCTCCGATGAAATGACAGAGAAGATTATGAAACTAAGAAGGTTTGATTACATTTCGAGAACATAACTGCAACAAAATTCTTTGCGATTATGTGATAGTAATGGGAATTTGAAGCTATTTTGGAACTCACTAGTACAATTGGTCATATGGGGTATATTAAGTAAAGCAAATGCTGAAAAGTTTTGGAAGTCATCGGTTGTGTTTGAGATCAAGAAAAACATTTGATTTGTTGGGCATATGTGGTATGCGATCTTATAAGTGCTTCCAGAGTTTTGTATGGTTGGGACGACGTGTTTACTCCGTTTTGTCCAAAGTTTTTGTGTCGAAAGATTGATCATTCTAAGTTTATTGACTATCTCAAATATGAGAAGGCGTATGGTTCGAATGGTCATTGCTGCTTTGGATCTACAGTTTCAAAAGGATTGGCATATGCACAGGGGTATGGAATACCTAGAGAAAGGTCTGGCGATGAGGAATTTGATTGTCGTGATAGAAGGGTTCCCAACACCTTGTCACCGACTTCTTCTCGATAGGTATGTCGTACAAAGATAACAAAATTCACGAGACTGAAGTACAACAAAATAACAACTAGAGCACTAGGGTTCGTAATCAAATCATTGTTTGCAAAGCGACTAGAAAGGATATAGTTCATTATTACCAACGCGAATAGGCCAAATGGTAATCGATATTCGTTCGTCGATTAATATGCAGATTTCGCGATGCTTTTTTATTCCAGAATCATAATAAGGTAAACAACAAATCAAGAGCATATGTAAATATAGCTGAGAATGTCATACCACCATATGATCATTGAGAACCGAGTGAGGAAGATCGAGGCATAGCGATCATTCTTCTGAGTTTTCATCTTAATGTACACATGTCCAAGTTGGCAAAAAAATTGTACTATGGTTGCACATGGGAACACCACCTTATGTATCTCCTTAGAAAAGTATGACTTGCAACCACTAATCAAAAATGTGGCCGCCGTGATCGCCTCGCTTAAGCGCTCGGTGGCTCCCGGTCACCGTGATTTTGACAAATCGGAAAAGATAAGAAAACTTCAACTTTTTTACCTTTTATGTGTTTTTATTTTATATAAGTTAGATCTATAAGTTTTATATGTTAAAACCATGAAAAATGGAAGAAAAATATGAATCAAAGGTAAATTGTCGAAGGCGATGACAAATTTGGGTTTCGAAACATAGTGACAATCCTGAAGAATAATTACCTAATGCAAAGAAATGCAGAGAAGGTTAAAGAAAACTTCATTTTTCACTTTTTATGTGTAAAAATGTTTATATAAGTTAGATCTATAAGTTTTATATGTTAAACCATGAAAAAACGGAAAAAAAATGAATCAAAGGTAAATTATCGAAGGCGATGACAATCAAACGCAATTTAACCTATAGAGAAACGTTAAATCTTTAGAGATGAACCCCAAACAAAGAGAAACAAAAGATATTGCCTCAAAACAAAGCCAAACCTAGAAGACAAATAGCC